CAGGTCACCATCTCCCAGCCAAAAATTAACTACAATACAAAGTGTACATGTAGGCCCTAACCTAAATACATTTATACATACTATAAAAAAGAGCATTTGACTGGGCGTGCTGTTCACCTACAATTTAAGGGGCAGGCCCGGTAGGCTCATCATTCACAGGTCACCATCTCCCAGCCAAAAAATTAACTACAATACATGTACATGTAGGCCCTAACCTAAATACATTCATACATACAATAAAAAAGAGCATTTGACTGGGCGTGCTGTTCACCTACAATTTAAGGGGCAGGCCCGGTAGGCTCATCATTCACAGGTCACCATCTCCCAGCCAAAAACTAACTAAAATAAGCCCTAAACTACATACATACAATAAAAAAAGAGCATCTAACTGGGTGTGCCGTTCACATACAATTTAAGGGGCAGGCCCGGTAGGCTCATCATTCACAGGTCACCATCTCCCAGCCAAAATTAACTACAATAAGCCCTAGTCTACAGTACATACATACAATAAACTAGATGGAATTTTGACTGCGCGCAGTCGAAAATGATGCCTCCGCCATAGAGCAATTTAAACAAGTTTGGAGTTTAAATCTCCAGTGGTTCTTGAGATACAGTATCATGATAACAATCTCAATGTATGGAATTTCATAAGTTGACCTCTGTGACCCTTGACCTTTGACCTACGTGCTCCAAAATCTAATCAGATTGTCTTCCTATGGTGATACACACTATCATTAAGTTTGAAGTTTAAATCTCCAGTGGTTCTTGAGATATTATGATATGGTGATACATACTATCATTAAGTTTGAAGTAAAAATTCTCCAGTGGTTCTTGAGATATCGCGATAACGATCTCAATGTATGGAATTTCATAAGGTGACCTCTGTGACCCTTGACCTTTGACCTACGTGCTCCAAAATCTAATCAGATTGTCTTCCTATGGTGATACACACTATCATTAAGTTTGAAGTTTAAATCTCCAGTGGTTCTTGAGATATTATGATAACAATCTCAATGTATGGAATTTCATAAGTTGACCTCTGTGACCCTTGACCTTTGACCTACGTGCTCCAAATTCTAATCAGATCGTCTTCCTATAGTGATACATACTATCCTTAAGTTTGAAGTTTTTACATCTCCAGTGGTTCTTGAGATTTCATGATAACAATCTCAATGTATGGAATTTCATAAGTTGACCTCTATGACCCTTGACCTTTGACCTACGTGCTCCAAAATGTAATCAGATTGTTCCTATAGTGATACACACTATCACTAAGTTTGAAGTTTAAATCTCCAGTGGTTCTTGAGATATCATGATAACAATCTCAATGTATGGAATTTCATAAGTTGACCTCTGTGACCCTTGACCTTTGACATACGTGCTCCAAAATCTAATCAGATCGTCTTCCTATGGTGATACATACTATCCTTAAGTTTGAAGTTTAAATCTCAAATGGTTCTTGAGATATCGCGCTAACAAACTCAATACAAGGAATTTCATAAGTTGACCTCTGTGACCTGTGACCTTTGACCTAAGTACTCCAAAATCTAATCAGATCGTCTTCCTATGGTGATAAATACTATTCCCGAGTCTTAAGTTTAAATCTTAAATGGTTCTTGAGATATTGTGATAACGGTCAAACGGGACGGACGTACGGACGGACGTACGGATGCCTCTGGCACCACCTTCGGTGGCGGAGGCATAAAAAGAGCATTTGACTGGGCGTGCCGTTCACCTACGGTTTAAGGGGCAGGACCCTGTAGGCTTATCATTCACAGGTCACCATCTCCCAGCCAAAAATTAACTACAATAAGCCCTAACCTACATACATACAATAAAACTAGATGGAATTTTGACTGCGCGCAGTCGAAAATGATGCCTCCGCCATAGAGCAATTTAAACTAGAGAGTTACTTGACCTATTGTGACATAAGGTCAAGACGAAAATTGAGAAATTTGTCATTTTGTGTACAAAATGAATGGCAAAGTGAAGTTTCTAGTTTGGTCTATAAATCAGCATAATTTTACTCTTTAGAGTTTAGTTATCATTTATTCAAGCAAAATATTGATACGTAACAACCTCAAGTATCAGAAGTCCTAAAACAATACAATACATAAGATTAAGAATTAATAACAATAGAATACAAAAGAAGTTCATAAAACAATTAAATACATAAGAATTGAAATAGACATGGACAATTTTTTTATGTGATAATGCCCGATAGGCTTTTTAGAATTTTTTTGCCACAAAATCAACTCTGTAAAAGCTTTATTTATGTAATTGTTAATAAAAATCATTATTCATGAATTTGATTTGCATAAATTAGCATAATTGATAAAATAAGTAATTTTCAGCAAAATTATAGTGAGGTCTCTTCCTTTATGCAATTGCATAAATTAGCATAATTGATAAAATAAGCAATTTTCAGCAAAATAATAGTGAGGTCTCTTCCTTTGCGCAATTTCTCAAGACGCGTGCCAAATTTCGAGGCAATCGGCCCCTCCCCCCCCCCCCCCAGTCAGGGAGGTGCTCGAAATAGCCCAGTTAAGTACGGGTTAAGTAACGGAACATATTTCAAGTGGTTCTTGACATATTATGACAAGTCCTATACATGTAGTCTGAATTTTTCAAGTTGACCTCTATGACTTTTGACATACATGTACTCCAAAATCTAATCTGATCGTTTTCCTATGGTGATATATATACTATCCTTAAGTTTGAAGTTTAAAATCTCAAATGGTTCTTGAGATATCGCGATAACAAGCTGAAGACATGGAATTTCACAAGTTGACCTCTGTGACCCTTGACCTACGTGCTCCAAAATCTAAACAGATCGTCTTCCTATGGTGATACATACTATCATTAAGTTTGAAGTGAAAATTCTCCAGTGGTTCTTGAGATATCGCGATAACAATCTCAATGTATGGAATTTCATAAGTTGACCTCTGTGACCCTTGACCTGTGACCTACGTGCTCCAAAATCTAATCAGATTGTCTTCCTATGGTGATACATACATGTACTATCATCAAGTTTGGAGTTTATATCTCCAGTGGTTCTTGAGATATCATGATAACAATCTCAATGTATGGAATTTCATAAGCTGACCTCTGTGACCCTTGACCTTTGACCTACGTGCTCCAAAATCTAATCAGATTGTCTTCCTATGGTGATACACACGATCATTAAGTTTGAAGTTTAAATCTCCAGTGGTTCTTGAGATATTATGATATGGTGATACATACTATCATTAAGTTTGAAGTGAAAATTCTCCAGTGGTTCTTGAGATATCGCGATAACGATCTCAATGTATGGAATTTCATAAGTTGACCTCTGTGACCCTTGACCTTTGACCTACGTGCTCCAAAATCTAATCAGATTGTCTTCCTATGGTTATACACACTATCATTAAGTTTGAAGTTTAAATCTCCAGTGGTTCTTGAGATATCATAACAATCTCAATGTATGGAATTTCATAAGTTGACCTCTGTGACCCTTGACCTTTGACATACGTGCTCCAAAATCTAATCAGATCGTCTTCCTATGGTGATACATACTATCCTTAAGTTTGAAGTTTAAATCTCAAATGGTTCTTGAGATATCGCGATAACGATCTCAATGTATGGAATTTCATAAGTTGACCTCTGTGACCCTTGACCTGTGACCTACGTGCTCCAAAATCTAATCAGATTGTCTTCCTATGGTGATACATACATGTACTATCATCAAGTTTGGAGTTTATATCTCCAGTGGTTCTTGAGATATCATGATAACAATCTCAATGTATGGAATTTCATAAGCTGACCTCTGTGACCCTTGACCTTTGACCTACGTGCTCCAAAATCTAATCAGATTGTCTTCCTATGGTGATACACACGATCATTAAGTTTGAAGTTTAAATCTCCAGTGGTTCTTGAGATATTATGATATGGTGATACATACTATCATTAAGTTTGAAGTGAAAATTCTCCAGTGGTTCTTGAGATATCGCGATAACGATCTCAATGTATGGAATTTCATAAGTTGACCTCTGTGACCCTTGACCTTTGACCTACGTGCTCCAAAATCTAATCAGATTGTCTTCCTATGGTTATACACACTATCATTAAGTTTGAAGTTTAAATCTCCAGTGGTTCTTGAGATATCATGATAACAATCTCAATGTATGGAATTTCATAAGTTGACCTCTGTGACCCTTGACCTTTGACATACGTGCTCCAAAATCTAATCAGATCGTCTTCCTATGGTGATACATACTATCCTTAAGTTTGAAGTTTAAATCTCAAATGGTTCTTGAGATATCGCGCTAACAAACTCCATACAAGGAATTTCATAAGTTGACCTCTGTGACCTGTGACCTTTGACCTACGTACTCCAAAATCTAATCAGATCGTCTTCCTATGGTGATAAATACTATTCCCGAGTCTTAAGTTTAAATCTTAAATGGTTCTTGAGATATTGTGATAACGGTCAAACGGGACGGACGTACGGACGGACAACCCAAAAACATGATGCCTCCGGCACCACTTTCGGTGGCGGAGGCATAAAAAGATGTTGTAGTGCCCTTTAGGCGCCAAAACATGGGTCTGTCGGTCGTTGGCCTCTCTCTTTGAGCTGATATTTTTCAGTTTTGACTGCTTTAATTATTTTTTTCTTAGAAAAAAAAACGGTTTAAAAAAAAGAAAGCTTTTTTAAAAAGCCGACCGTAGATTTCAAGAGTTTTGGGTCGGTCGCAAAGGGCAATACAACATCTTCTTTTTTATTCCTTACATGTAGTCTTGCTGAAGAAAGCAAGCGAATGGTTACTCATATATAAGCCTCCAGACAAATGTATTTTTCAAAACTTTTTTTTCATTTCTTGTCATGTCTTGAATAATAAGGTTATATTAACATTTAACATCAATCCGTTTTATGAGACATTTCAACTGGCGTCAAAGAATGAGAAAAGGCAGGAATTCTATTTCATCCTTACCAGAAATCCCTTCTCATTAAAGTGACTTACCAACTACTGTTGCAACAATCACACACTCTGCTGTATTCCCTGAAGCGTCTGTGGCAGTGACCGTGATGTTGCGGCTTCCAATAGGCAACTGACCCGGAACAAAATCTGTTTCCACTGTAACCTCTCCTGAGTTATCTGTTGCCGTTGGACTAGTCCAGGATATGATCCCAAAAGCTGCCCCAGCCTCTGTCTCTGCCGTGACATCGTCGGGACAGACAAGGACAGGAGGTTCTTCATCTGAGTGATAGTAGCAAGAGGAAATGAACTCCAAATACTGAATACAAGTCATTTGATATCTGGTATATAATTTCTGAATTACTTCCTTAAAGGGAAATCCAACCCAAATAGACAACTACTAGTAATCTAAAAGAGAGCAGAAAAATCAGAGAAATCTGACTAAATATACGAAGGTTATGAATTTTTGAAACTTGTAATGACTATACGTATGGGTATTTCAAATTGGCTGCGGCAATAATGTCAATGTGATGTAATCCGAGACTACTTTCCCATCTGTTCCAACATATAAAGTGACTAAAAAAAAGTTCATTGCTCAGGAGGGTCTTGGCCTAGTCCATATTCTTTTTTAGAGGACCTAGCTATAATAACATGCTTATAAAGTAAAGGAGGAAGTTTTCAGCAACTTAAGCAAAATCCTATTTTTGGACTCTTTACTTCCTATTTATAAACATCTTTTTTTCAAATCGTGAAGCCAATACTATTATTTTTATTTTTTTTAAGAATCCCAGAAAATAATTGTTTCAGAGGTAGTTTTCGGCGGTATGAACGTACAGTCAATAGGGAGTGTTCGCCCGCTGATCTATAGCACGTGCGGCCAGAGCACATAATCCCCCGTACAGCTGAAAACTACACCTGCAGGTACGGTGATCAGAAATTGGAATCTTAACTAAACAGAGATATGGCGCTATAGTATCCAACTGCAGAGGTAGGATACATGCGGTGAAATACTTTATGCTTGCGATACTCAATAAATCTGACACAAAAACTTTAAAAATTACTTGAAATAGCTCATTTTATGGTACCCATATTCCTTTACAGACACGCGCAAGATATTCTGTTTTTTGTATCTAGACTATAGAGCTGATTAGTTTAAAGCTGTTTAACCTAACAGCTTTAAAGAAAATGTCGTTTATACGATGTTCGGACAGATACGAAGTCACGATTCATACATGTATGCAGGTCAAAGCAGGCTGCAGATACGAAGCCTGTATCTAGAGAGCAAGACATTTTGTGTGTGAAGGGATACGTCCTTATAACTAGACCGGGCACTGCTCTTTAAACGCTCAGTAGGGCCTACAGCGCATTTACGTATATGCGCTATGGCCCTACTGAGCCAGGCGTGGATCCAGGATTTCTTAGGGGAGGGGGCCCAACTTTTTTTTTTTTTGCTCCCAAAAATTTGAAAATCGCGCCAGCAGAAAAGTCGCTCAGTGGGATGGGGGGGGGGGGGGGGGGGGGGGGGGGGTTAGTGAGCACATTTTTTTTGGGGGGGGGGTCCTCGAAAATTTTAAAATTTGCACCCCTCCCTTGAGCTCCGGGGGGGGGGGGGGGGGGGCCCAACCCCCCAAAAAGGTAAAAATCGCGTGATTTTGCATGATTTTTTTGTCAAGGGGGGGGGGGGCCGGGCCCCCGGGCCCCCCCCCTGGATCCGCCACTGTACTGAGCATTTAAAGAGCAGTGAATCTCGAACGACCGCACCAAAATTTCCTGTGTGTGAATGATGTTGTATCCGGACACTTTTTGCCCAAAAAGCAATTATGTATACCGGTCCCTCTTTTTGGAATGGTTTGGATTCGGAGGTTAAGGAAGCACCATCGCTAAATTGCTTTAAATGCAAACTTTGAGTTTTCTTTTAAGTTCTTACATCTAATATAATTTGTTTGTCCTCCCCAGTCATACATTTAAATGCTAACAGACTAAAACTAACTAAACAACTGAGAAAATACAAACATTATTATAATAATCTGACTACCGGGACTAAATAATGGCTTTAACAAGAGAAACTGGGAAATACTACGAGCAACAGGACTGAAAGTGAAACACAGACAAAAACTAAACAAGACAATATCATTATCAAACTCAAACAACAGTGATAAACTGATACTGATAGTGATACATGCAGTGATAGTCTGATACGTCTTTAGTGATAATGTGTACATGTAGAATTTTGAGAGAAAAGTTCCTGCACGACTTTGTCATATAAAGGGCCAACTCTAGCTGGTACATCAAAATGGGTAAATGCCTAGCAGTATACACCCGTCGCTACCACACCAGTTTCACGGCACCTACATGCACACTACCACTACCAGCGGTGATCACACTTGCTCGTTCCCGATCCACCTGGGTCCTGGCTCATGCGTTATGAACAGGCTTAGCTAGACTAGTTTACTACAGTAAAACAGTTACAATACTCGAAGGATGAATTCCTCAATATTATATTTTACTTTACCCTTCGAGTGACAGTGGACCAACCAAAGTAAAACAAAATCAAAACTGTAAGAAAATGGAAGAAAGATTCCGGCTTCTTGGCTCTGACACTGCAGGATAAATAAAGCAGACGACCTGCCTGTAAAAACAGGTAGCATATATTGGCACGAGCTTTAGTGGAGTCATGAATATTCATTAGTCCCTACGTCACAGACGTGCGGCGTGCGTAGTGTGTCATATACACATGTACTAGTACACGAGTACGTTTGTAAGTATTAGTACATGTACGTTGCTCCGGAATGAAGAGAATCGCCATAGAGGACGAATTACTCCGTGAAGCCAAGTACGAACAGAGAATTGAAAGCAACTACACTCCCTAATCTAGCTAGTTTTGTAATAACAAATAGGTATTTTTTTCATAATATTTTACTCTTTCGTGGCTTCATACTAAGGAACTTTCAAAAAGATGATTTGTAGAAAAAAGGAAACTGAAGAAAAGAAAACATGTGCACCCAGCAGTTCAATGCAGTTCCTACCTACTAGGCCTACCTAAACCCACTTACAAAATATTACTTGCATGTTGCTTAAATAGTTGACAGCCACAATATTTAGTAAAATAATAGGCGTTTCATGTATTTTAATACTGGTAAGTTGCTCGATATGATTTGATTCGATATATATCTCATTAATAAAACCATCTAAAGGCTATAAGTCTCAAACATATCTTAAACCGAGTGCCAACAGCATTAAACCATGCCCCCAAATTTAGTGATTATTTTTTATATCGAAATACCGAGGTTTCACTGGTTTATTTAGCAACATGAAAATTGTAATACTATAATGTTCGAGTACATCACTTTGTATATGATTTGATCCAAGATATATGTCATTAATGAAACCACGCAAAGGCATTCTAGTCTCAAACAAACCATCACCATTAAACCGAGGGCCAACACCATTAAACCATGCGCCAAATTTAGTAATCTTCTTTTGTGTATCGAAAGACCGAGGTTTCACGGGTTTATTTAGGAAAATGGAAATTTAATACTAGTAAAATGCTTGATAACATCGGTCAGTATATGATTTGATCCGAGATATATATCTCATAAATGAAACCATCTAAAGGCTATAGTCTCAAACAAACCAACACCATTAAACCGAGTGCCAAAACCATTAAACCATGCGCCAAATTTAGTAATCTTTTGCGTATCGAAAGACCGAGGTTTTCCGGGTTTATTTAGGGAATTGGAAATATGATACTATAATGTTCGATTACATCACTCTGTATATGATTTGATCCGAGATATATCTCATTAATGAAACCATCTAAAGGCTATATAGTCTCAAACAAACCTGCACCATTTAACCGAGTACCAACATCATTAAACCATGTGCCGAATTTAGTAATCTTCTTTTGTGTATCAAAAGACCGAGATTTCCCGGGTTTATTTAGGAAAATGGAAATGTAATACTAGTAAAATGCTTGATAACATCGGTCAGTGTATGATTTGATCAGAGATATATCTCATAAATGAAACCATCTTAAGGCTATAGTCTCAAACAAACCAACACCATTAAACCGAGTGCCAACAACATTAAACCATGCGCCAAATTTAGTAATCTTCTTTTGCGTATCGAAAGACCGAGGTTTTCCGGGTTTATTTAGGGAATTGGAAATATGGTATTATAATGTTCGATTACATCACTCTGTATATGATTTGATCCGAGATATATCTCATTAATGAAACCATCTAAAGGCTATATAGTCTCAAACAAACCTGCACCATTTAACCGAGTGCCAACATCATTAAACCATGTGCCAAATTTAGTAATCTTCTTTTGTGTATCGAAAGACCGAGGTTTCCCGGGTTTATTTAGGGAATTGGAAATTTGATACTGGTAAGATGCTCGATAACATCACTAAGTCTGATTTGATTAGATATATATCTCATTAATGAAACCATGCAAAGGCATTCTGGTCTCAAACAAACCAACACCATTAAACCGAGTGCCAACACCATTAAACCATGTGCCAAATTTAGTAATCTTCTTTTGTGTGTCGACAGACCGAGGTTTCACGGGTTTATTTAGGAATATTGGAAATTTAATACTAGTAAAATGCTTGATATTAAACATCGGTCAGTATATGATTTGATTCGAGATATGTCTCATAAATTAAACCATCTAAAGGCTATATAGTCTCAAACAAACCATCACCATTAAATCGAGTGCCAACATCATTAAACCATGCGCCAAATGTTGTAATCTTCTTTTGTGTATCGAAAGACCGAGGTTTTCCGGGTTTATTTGGGGAATTGGAAATATGATACTATAATGTTCGATTACATCACTCTGTATATGATTTGATCCGAGATAATCTCATTAATGAAACCATCTAAAGGCCTTATAGTCTCATACAAACCAACACCATTAAACCGAGTGCCAACACCATTAAACCATGTGCCAAATTTAGTAATCTTCTTTTGTGTATCAAAAGACCGAGATTTCCCGGGTTTATTTAGGAAAATGGAAATTTAATACTAGTAAAATGCTTGATAACATCGATCAGTATATGATTTGATCCGAGATATATCTCATTAATGAAACCATCTAAAGGCTATATAGTCTCATACAAACCAACACCATTAAACCGAGTGCCAACACCATTAAACCATGTGCCAAATTTAGTAATCTTCTTTTGTGTATCAAAAGACCGAGATTTCCCGGGTTTATTTAGGAAAATGGAAATTTAATACTAGTAAAATGCTTGATAACATCGATCAGTATATGAT